TTCGAAAGAAATATCGAGGTGTCAAAAACGACCGGATTCTCAGGCAAACCCTACGAGATTCCACCAGCCTGTGTCAATACCAATCTTCTCGTAGCATCGTTCGCACAATCCCGTATCGACATTGCCGCCAGCACACGTGAAAATACAGTCTCGATCGACCACCGTGTTCGCGCTTTTCTCTTTCCCATCGAAACTGCTCATTCGCTTGGCGGACGAAATACAAAAGACAGTCGGAGTCGCCGTTAGCGTCACGCGATTGTTCTCCCATACGGACTAGCATCCGCACCGGCGCACTAGAAATCCTAAAATTTTTCGGGGAAGAATCGGATTCTGTTCTGTCAGTTATGTCGAAATTGTGAAAACGAGGACGCTAACTTTGCAGACGTGGCGAACTTAACGTACCGAGGCACAATGGACGTCGGTACCGACCACGTTTCGCGCAGAAGCGGCGACGTGACGTTTTTCCGCTCGTTAAAACACATTTTATTTTCAGCGTCGGCAAAACACCTGGAACAGGCGGCCAGCGACCTCGTTCTCGAGAGATTAAAATTTATACCAGGCCTGCGTTGCCGTTCTCGACCTGCACCTGCTGCCCTGCCGCCGTCGGCCGCGCTATAATCTTATCGAACGACGTTGATCCGCCCCAGCCCCGGTCGTTGCCATTGCTATTGTTGTAGGTCGGAATGGATCTCGCCCCTATGCGCCCGTGCGTTTTTACGAGACAGGGGATGCATTTCGCAACAGAGTATCTCTGATATTAATCCTCGATTATATAATTAATGAATTTTGCAGAAAGACTCAAATACAGAAATGATTCTGATAAATACTATCAAAAGATAATCTTTCTCTAAAACTCATCTAGAAGTAGAAAAAATTTGATAAAAAAAAGGGAAATTAAAAACATAAAACCATGGGAAAAAAAATAAAAAAGTATAAGTAAAAAGTACAGCAAATCTTTAAGATCCATTTTTAGATCAATCTCACATATTTCTCATATTACATTTTCTATACAGCTTTTACATCTAAATCATTTTTTGTTTAATTATTGTTCTAATCTACATCTAACAAAATTAAATTCGTTAAAGAATGTATTGATCTAAAAAATTAAGTTTGGCAGAGATGATCACATTAGATGACAGTTCTCAGATAAATTTGATATCTGCCAATCTTTTATCGATCTTTTTCCTTGGTCGGTATTAAAGTTGATCGCGTGTGTAAAGAAGGCCACGTCGTGTCGCCGCTACGACTGCAGTTCCTTGCGAGTTGTAACAAAGCCGCAACTGACTCCGA